TGAATAAATATAGCGAAGTTGCAAAACTTTTTGACTACCCTATGTAATTGTCATAAGATAAAAAAACAAGATAAATTTATTTTTATTTATATTTTTCATAAAATAATTTCTATAAATTAGTTTAAAATCTTTTGAAAAAAAATTTGAAAGTTTATTTTAAAAAGTATTCTAAATACCTATGTAAAACAGTATATTAAATGATATTTGTGGTTAATCTTCATGTACAAGAATGAATGTGCAGTAAAATATAGCTTATCCTAGTAAGAGAAGTGTCACATTTAATGATTTACAACTTTCGAGATATCTTTTATCACTTTTTTCATTATATGTTAAACTTTTCTCTACTCTTATTTTTTTTTAAATTTCTTTCTTGTTGTTCTTGATTAGATTTCAACTGATATATTAGACTATTGAATAGAAATACAAGTTAAGAAAAATAAAAAAAACAAATATGGAATGTTTCTCTATACGAGAACACAAATGAAATGTACATCAAACAAACTATTTTAGTGTATTTATTGACTGTAATATAAAATAGACAATTGCACATATAAGAAAAGATTTCGTAGAGATGAATAAAAGTAATTTCTTTTTGTTTTTTTAACTTTGAAAATCTGATATTGATAGATGATTTGATTAATATAAAATGTAATTGTAATGAATGTGTATGAATATTTATCTTGATATTAAAATTTGATTCATCTGTCATTTTTTCTCATTCTTTATTTCTTTATGATATGAGCGCATATGAAGAAATAAATATTACCTTTCTAACATCGAAGGACAATAATAATAATAATTTGAAATGTATCTTGTTTTAATTGATTATATTGTTTTAATTTTACTTTTGGGTAATTTTCTTTAAAAAAATAAAACGGCAATAATTTATTTAAATAATATTAGTTTTATCATGTGGAACTGGAGTTTATCGAGGTTATAGTCGATCAAAACAAGTTTCATCTAAATAATTTCTTATTGCTGATGGTCGAATGAAAATTATTAAATATAATTTGAACAAAAAAACAATTTATTAATTGTCTATATTCGTTTAGATAATTCCAACAGCAATGAGTTTATTAGCAACTTTAAAATCTCCTGCATCATTACTTGGAATGCCTGTTGAATTTTATTACTAAGGAACGATGCTTATTTATTGTAATATGTTATTATTATATAAAATAAGATTTAAATATTCTATTATTTAAAAAAAAAGTCATCCCATAGTTTACTGGAACATATTTAACAGTGAATTTTTTTGTTCTAAAATATCATTATATTGGTAGTGCAAGTATTTATGCTGTATGTAGAACATATATTAGTATCTAGATCAAAGTTTTTCGTTAACAGTTCATATTTTAGTAAGATACAGTTTTGTTGTAGTTACTATAAGTAGATATTCAATTTACTCTTTTTTTTTGTTAATTATAAATCGAATTTGTTAAGATTCTTGCGATGGCAGTTATTTTATATGGACCAAGTTTAGCTTTAAGTCAAGTAACAGGATTAAATATTTGGATTGCAGTTGGATTATGTGGAATAATTTTTATAATTTATACAAGTATTGTAAGATAGTTTGCAAATTAATTAAATAACAATTATAGATGAAAATACTTAAGAGAGGAATAAAAGCAGTCACTGGAACAGATGTTATAGAAGCATAGCTTATATTTATTGGTTTGACTATATCAACTATTATTGGTATGTATATATCCTCTCTTTTTTTTAACAAAGATTATTTTAGTTTTTTTTATCAAATCCAAATAAAGATATTGCTGACGCAGGTGGAATATCTAAAGTATATGAAACTATGAAAGCTAATAGTCGATTGCAGTTTTCTGTGTATGCCATTAAATTGAAAAAAAGATTTAAAAAAATTATCTTCTCGGGTGTAGTGTATATTCTGATCCATAAATTCGTTATACAATGTGGAGTATATTTATTGGTGTAATATTTTCAAGTACAGCTCAATATACTTATATTCAAACTCAAGCACAAAGATATATGTGTGTTAAAGATACAACATCTGCAGAAAAGTATTTCTCATATAAATAAATAAATAAATAAATAAAATTTGTTATTTTCTAAAAAGAGTTGCATGGACAAATTATATTATGTTAGTATCTATGCATATATTATGTTTATGGGTTGGATGCTTACTCTATAATAAATATAGTCAATGTGATCGTCTTCGAACTAAAATTATTTCTCGATCATATCAAGTAAAAGAAAAATAAGAAAATGATTATAATGGAATATAATTTCAGTCTAGATATATCCATTATTTGTAATTGAAACATTAGGATGATTTTCTGGATATGCAGGTCTTTCTATTGCATGTATGTTAAGTGCAACATTAAGTACATTTTCAAGTGGATCTAATAGTATAGCAACAGTTATTCTTGAAGATATTTCTAAGCAATTAACAAAAAAATATTCAATGTTAAATGAAGAACAAGTTACTTTTTCAAAAAAGTTATCTAAAAATAATTCGCTACTATTTTTTCCTCAATTATCTTTCTTTGTTAATTATCTAGCAATATGTATTGGTTGTTTATGAGTGATAATGACCTTTCCTGTATTTTTTACAAAGAATAATATCATAACTGTTAGTATTTGAATGATTTTTCATAGTTAATGATTAAATTTATTGTTTGTTTAGTTAATAATTCAAATGTTTTGTGTATTTGCTACTTCCATTTTGAATATTTATTTTCTTGGATTATTTTTATCAGAGTTAAAAGTCAAGTAAAAATTAAACTGAGAGTTTAAAAAGAAACAAACTTTCTTAAATATATTTAGAGCGTATTTGTCGCTTTTTTTCTTTGTTTAATCTTTCAATCTTTATGCTTTTTTCGTTCAATATTTAATACAAAACCAGCAAATAAACAAGGTAGATGACTACCAATTTCTATTGCTGGATGTTTAATATCAACAAATATAACTATTAAAACAATATCATATGAAAACAAAAAAATATTTTAAGAGAAATAAAATTGATAGTTTTGTTTAGATCAAATTTATTAGTATCTTTGTTTTCGATATCACCACTTTGGTTTATATTTATTGGTACTATGACTACTATTTGTGGGACATATTTTGATACTAGTAACAGCTGTATTATTTCTGGTTTATCTGTTATATATCAATAAATAAATTAATAGTATTTAATTGAAAACAAAAACAGAGAATACACTTGCCTTTAATCTATAATGTTTTCTCATTATGCTGATAGACTAAGTTTTCATCATGGTAAAAGAAATAGAAAAGTAAAGTACTTATTATGATTTTTCTTCATTCAGTATATATTGAATAGAGTTTTAAATAAGATTGTTGTAATACTCATACGTCATATTTTTTCTTGTGATCTATCATTCAGCAAACTATTTTTCTTACTATATATAAATGCAGATAAAAATTTGCTTTTAGTTATTAAATATAGTAACATAAATCTGAATTTTATTTTCGATCGAATCATATAACTTTAACAAGAATTCTAGTTACTTCTTTAATTCTATCTCGATATGATTTATGTTAATCGTTGGTTGAAAGGATTGAATCATCAGTGGTTATTGTACCAAACGAGCGAATATTTTTGTAAAGTCTGTTCAAACTGATAGATTTTAATCGAATCTGATCAACTCTGAAGATGCTGACTCGTACGATCCACCTGCACCAGCCACAGAATCCAAATCGACTTCGATTACGAGATAAACTTTTATTATTATACATAGCGTTGGAAAATTCTTTTTATGATAATGAAATCTGAGTTTTCCTAGAAAATAACTCGAATACGAGTACATATTTCAGTCATAAAAAATAAGATAAAATAGAATGATTATCTAAGAACTTTTTTGTCTTTTATTTTGGCTATCTGCAGAAGAATCTCGATCGTATATAGGTTTTTTCATTAAATATTTATATCTATTTTTAAATTTTTACAAAACCAGATTTTATATATTCTTCAATTATATATATTCTAGATAATAATATACAATTATTAAAATAGATTGAAGATGAACACACGGTGTATATTCTGCGCTATGCAATGCGGGAGTAGCCGTTGTTCACAATGTAGTCGAATGAGTCGTAGTCAAAACTTTTCTCAATTGCTTCAGCATCTCGACAAATGTTCTCAAAGTATAATGGCCTATGACGAGATTGCTACCCTCGTACAAAGTATTCGACAAGTGAGTTATTTAAAATACTAATTTATTTACAAATAGAGTTTTGAAGGTTGAATCAATTATGGTACCATATGAATTCCGACCAAATCAAGTTTTCGATCCGAAAAAACATATGTTAGATGTAGTGGCCAAGCAATATCTTGAACAGGCTACTAGTGATGTACATCATCTTGTTCCAGTCGATGTCATTGCCGATGGAAATTGTTTATATCATTCCATTGTTCTTCTAATGAATAACCCAGCAGTGACATGGAGTGAATTACGAGGTATATAAATCTTTTTCAATTATTTTATTACATAACTTGCCTCTCGATATTTATTTTAGTTCGAACAGTTATAGAACTTATGACGAATGAGACTTATTATTCAAATACGTACTCACATTGCGTCGGACCTTTTGATGTTGCAATTCGAGCGATGTGCAGAAAGTCCACATTTTCGGAATTGTATGAAATTGCTGCGTTGTGCAATTTACTTAAATGTAACATACGAAGTATTTATCCAAAAATTGATCTTCGAGATCATACGGCCATCGTGAACAACACATTTATGCCTCTTCCACCTACTGTTGCTAATTGCGAAATTACAATATTGTGGTCACATACCTTGAACGAAAACGAGGTAAGAATTAAAAATAATTCAACATGGAGCCCAAATCATTTTGTTCCACTTATGTCACGATTGGTTCAACATGAGCGTGGTAATAATAATCAATTAGCGTCAGTTCTTGTGGTAAGTTTTTTAATTATGAACTAGAATTCATAAACCTTAAGATTTATTTAGACTCCTGAAAAGAAAACATTTAAGAACAATGCTGCTATCCAGATACGAATTCCTGAGTTTCAATCATCTCCAAGCAGACGTTTACGAAGTGAAATTAACATAGACACTGATTCTTCTCAATCTATCATGTCTGATACAATGTTGCACGATCACAATGACAAAGAAGAACAACGTCAAATTCGTCTTGAAAAGAAAAGAGAACGAGTTCGATCAAGTCGATTGAACGCAACCCAAGAAGAGCGCCAAAATCGACTGGATGCAGACAAGCACCGTACTCAATCGCGTCGAAAGAATGAACCAGAGGAACACCGTCTTAATCGACTCGAACAGCAAAGAAAACGAAGTCAAGCAAACAGAGAAAAAAAGAAAAATGAAAAACGCATGTCTGATAATATTAGTATTCAACAACAAACTACTCAGATGCAATCTGCTGGAGCGGAAGAAGTCCCATTACAAGATGGTATTAATATATCTCATTCTACATCAAATTCAAATATCTTACTGAAAATTAGAAATTCGACTTCTTCTTGGCCTGAACCAATTTCTCGTGATTTGAAAGAAGGATGTCTCAAAAAGTTTCTCCATCGAATGTCCATGTCAGCACTAGCCGAAACTACGTGTGCAGTTTGCAACATTCGAAGTCCCATGCAAAAGTCGAAATCAGTACCTGTCTCAAAAATTACTAGCAATGAATTACTCAAAGTTTCAGACGAAACTAAAGCTCTGATCATGGGTTCCCAGTTAACGAATTTACAGTACATAAATGAAGGCACCGTAACTACTGTTAATACTGGTGGTATACAAACGACTGATCATGCTCAAAGTAATATACATTTATTCTTGATTGAATATTTCTTCAATAACCTTTTATTATTTCAGATTCCAAGTCACCATCTTTTTATTGTGAAAACAATATTATTTTATATACTAGTGGCTTATTTCAACAGAATAAGAAGAATATGTGCACACTCTGTCAAAAATGCCATGATGCTTTAACGAAAAAACACATTCCTAAATTTTCTGTTGCCAATGGCATGTGGTTTGGCGACATTCCTGCTGAATTACAAGGCTTAACAATTCCAGAAGAAAAGCTAATATCACTTTATCGTCACAATAGCTGTATAATAAAACTTCAATCACCTTTCCATTCAGCTACAACTTCACAAACAGCTTTAAAAGGCAACTGTATTACTTTTCTGCAAAATGTACCGGACATTGTCAACAGTCTACCACTTAAACTCAATGATCTATGTGATACGATAAAAGTCATTTTTATTGGCTCTCTTCCTCCTCAACGTATTCATCTTAGAAAAATTTTAACAGTGCGAAAGAAAAAAATTATTCAGGCTTTGCAATGGTTGAAGAAATATAATATTCTCTATCAGAATATTGAGATAAATCTTGAGAATATTGCTCAACTACCTGAAGACGACATACCAGAATCTATTATGTCAACAATGGAGCAAAAGATAAGTGATGAAGAAATTCAATCTGAAAGAGTTGGCTATGTTCCTGATCCACTATCTAATTTAACTGATTACACAACCTCAGATACTATTCCCATACAGAACAGGTAAGAACAAATATTTAATTTAAAAAAGTAACATTTTAAATCTTGTCATTTTTAGTAGTGTTCTCGACGTCAATGGCTCTTTGATATCTTCAGATGAAATTGCAAATTATGTTTTGCAAAAAATGAAAAATAACAAAACACACAAACAAATGAACAGTGAAAGAGTTCATTTAATCCCTCATTCTTCAAAACCTGTTAATGAGTATTATAATCCAAAATTATTAGTGGGTTTGTATCCTACTCTGTTCTGTTATGGACGTGGTGCACCTGACGATCAATCACGTCCTGTTAAAGCGAATTTACGAGAACATATACGCTACCTATTATCCTACAATGATCGACGTTTTGAAATGAATCACAGCTTTATATTTGTGGTCTTCAATATATTGCAACGACGTAATGCTTGTTTTCATGCTCAATTGATCACAACGAAACCTTACTTTCGAGAATCAGCCCAGGATATCCAGACTTTAAACAGTAAAGACATCGAAACCGCTCTCGAGAATATTTCCAAAAAAACATATAACTCAGAATCAAACAGTGCATTAAACAAATTATTAAATCATATCAAAACTATCGGTGGTCGAGTTATGGGCTCCGCATATTCACGCACGGCCTTACGAACTCGCATTCATTCGTTAATATATAATCAATGTCTACCTAACATCTTTATGACGTTAAATCCAGCCGATATTCATAGTCCCATCGCACTATATTTTGCGGGTGTCAAGCTTGATTTGGACAACATTCAAATGGAACAATTGCTCAATACTTACAAAAGAGCTGAAATAATAGCATCTCATCCTGTAGCTACCGCCAAATTTTTTCATTTATTAATCACCAATATTTTAGAGACTATAATTGTTGACGGTGTTCTTGGGCCAATAAAGGCTTATTTCGGTACTGTTGAAAGTCAAGGACGAGGTTCTCTTCATCTACATCTTCTTATTTGGCTTGATCATGACATGAAACCGGCTGATATGAAAGAGCAAGTTCAAAATTCTACTTTTCGTGAGAAGTTGAAAGCGTATCTAGAAGATATTATCAAAGAAGATCTAGATGAATTCAAAGATAAATATGTCTTCGAGAATTCAGATGGTATAGAAGATTCTTTTTTAATTTAAATATCACATTCTGTTTTTATATTACAGCATCTAGGTCATTCAATACTCCAACACAATTATCAAGAGATAATATTTATACAGCTTTACGTACTATTGATTTGGCAGGTTTAGAAGAAAATACAAATGAACATGGTATTCAATCGACACCGACGAAAGAACGATCTTCTCCATCAATTCCTTATGCTTCTCCACCAAATCTTTATGGTTCTCCACCAAATCTTCATGGTTCTCCATCAATTCCTTATGCTTCTCCACCAAATTTTTATGGTTCTCCACCAAATCTTCATAGCTCTCCATCAATTCCTTATGCTTCTCCACCAAATTTTTATGGTTCTCCACCAAATCTTCATGGTTCTCCATCAATTCCTTATGCTTCTCCACCAAATTTTTATGGTTCCCCACCAAATCTTCATGGTTCTCCATCAACATCTAATGGTTCTTCATCACGACATACATCTTTACAAACACCTACACATGGTCGATCGAAATCCGGTAAACTATTGTAACTATAAAAAAAGAAACAATGCATTGATTGATATTTTAGTCGATAATGTTTTACATAATCAATCAAACGTAATTCCAGCTTGCTTACCTACTCCAAATCCATCGTCACCAAATTTTGCATCACGATTTCGAGCAGATGTAGTACGACTCGTCGAAGCAAGCAACATTCATAACCATACTGACACATGCTACAAGTACTGCAATATTAATAAAGGTCTAAAGAAAATTTGTCGAATGCGTATGCCACGCAAATTAGTAGCAGTTTCGACAATTGATCCAGAGACTGGTCATATTTCTATGCGACGATCGCATCCAATGATAAATAATTTTAATGAATACATTATATCGGCATGTCGTTCCAATATGGATATTAAATTTATTTGGACTGGTAGTGATGCCAAAGCTCTTGTATATTATATCACCGATTATGTCACAAAAATGAGTCTATCTTTTCATGATACATTTGCTCTTGTACAAAAAGGCATTACATCGATGAATAATTCATTTCATCAGTCAGAAAACGAAAGTCCAATCGAGAAATCACGTAAGCTCGTCCTACGTTGTTACAATACACTTGCTTCTCAACAAGAGCTATCCGGAGCTCAAGTTGCTTCTTATCTTATGAACTGGGAGGATCATTATACAACGCACAAATTTCAAGGCCTCTATCTAATTCAAACTGAACTGTTTTTACAAAGTGAATTGAACGAAATACGTACTAAACAGAAGTCGACATTTGCAGTGCATGGTAAGTATATTAATATTTGAATTCATGTCTTAAAGTACTTATATATGACCATGATAAAGTATATTATTTAACCAAAAACTTACCTGAAAATAAAATTATTGACTGTTTGATAGATCAAAAGTACTATAATCCATATGGTACTGTCATTTTTGCAATATAGAGGTAACATATTATCTATTTCCTAGCAAGAAACCGTTTTCAATGTCGTAATTTTTGAGTATGCTGAAGGAAGATATAATAGAGCGGTTGAATCGTGTTGTTATCATTGAATAAAACAAATTTATTGTTTATCATACGTAGATGTCATCGACGATTATATATGTGACGATGAAGCTATTGACGATCAAAATAATGATGAAGAACAGTTCCAGATTCAGGCATCCGAAAATGACGAAAAACATGTGCTTGTTAATACACGAATTGATTATCAATATCGGTCAGAAATTCTGAACAACATATGTCTATATGATTTTGTCAGTATCTTATACAAGAAGAAGATGAATGCAGCAGATTTGAAATATTTATCGGACATTGTAGTACCTAAAAAACAAAACGATAATCGAAAAGGTCGACCTCCTAATGAACGTTATGCTTTTCAGAAACAGCATCCACAGGCGACAACATATGTAATGATGAAATATACTCAATCTCGTGTACCTATTCTTTATGGTCCTCAAATTCCTCGAGAAGATCGTGATGACACACGAGAACGGTACTGTCGAGCTCTTCTAACACTTTTTGTGCCCTGGCGTTCCGTAGCTGATCTTTGTGCCATCGAGCAGACATGGGAAGATGCATTTAAATCTCAACAGCATCTTATATCTACATATTCGATGACAATCATAGAAAATATTCAACTTTTACACGAATGCAAAAAGGATCGTGATGAACATTTACTTCAAGTTATTGCCGAAGCTCAAACTGATGATGATGTGATTGATCCTGTATTTTTACCAGCAAATCAAGATATTTATGGTGACGATGGAGTCGACGACAGTGAAGATTTACTTGAGTTACTCGGTAGTTTAGATGAATATACTACGACTGCGATGAACTCCATCAAAAAGTCAACAGAAAGCAAATACATTGAAGAAACTATTCAAGTGGTTGAAAACGTTGGACGATTTTCTGATATACAATGTAAGTATTATATTAATATATTGCCAATAAGATAGAAAATAACGATAAGAATTTATTATAGCACATACTCGTCATCTTTTTAATGAAGCTGTTGGTGGTATGGATCAACGAATTGTGCCGTTCGTTTCAGCTACACCTAATCTCGTTCGACTCAATACAAAATGGCAAGAACAACTAAAGACTGAGAAAGAAAGAGTTAGACGAAGTTTAATTACGGGCAAATACGACAAAACGGACGATACATTAGATTATGATAGTATACAGGATGCACTTGTAACTATGGTCAATTCAAATAATTATAACATAAATACACTTGATAATTACACTCAAATTCTTCCAGTTGCGTCAGTCACTACCACAAGCTATTCTACTCAGCAAAGTATTATTGAAGAATATACATTGAATAAAGAACAACAAGCTGCATTTCTGATAATAACCAATCATCTTGATGGTGACAAAGAACGTCATAAAGGTATTTTAATGATCTATACGTATAATAATAAATCAAAATAATATATATATATATAGGTACCAACAATGGTCAGCTGATAATGTGCATACCTGGATGTGGTGGCACAGGTAAATCACAACTGATTCGTGCTGTCACCAAATACTTTCTTATTACAAAAAGAATGCAGATGATGCGAAAACTCGCACCCACCGGAATCGCTGCTGCTGAAATTGGCGGCATGACAATTCATTCATTTTTAGGTGAACAACGTAATTCAGGAAAGCCACGCACCATCAAACCAGGTGATACAAAACTTGAAAACCAATGGAGACTGGTTGAATATCTCCTGATTGATGAGATGAGTATGGTTGGTTTAACTCTACTTGGAAAACTCAATCGAATTATGTCCGCTGCCAAACATGCCGATCCTCAAATTCCATTTGGTGGCATAAACGTCATATTTTTTGGTGATTATTTACAGTACCGACCAGTATATGATGCACCGTTGTACACTGACTTTTCACAGCCCTCTAAAAACAAATCAGGGCAATCACGTAGTGAAAAAGAAATTCAACAACGCGCTGCACGTTCCCTGATACTTCAAATTAACTGTGTGATCAAACTTAGTCAACAGATGCGAACAGAAGATGAACGATACCGTGAATTACTCGAACGGCTTCGTCAAGGTGAGTGTAATTTGCAAGATTATGAATTATTATTAACACGCGTCGTTGGTCAGCCATCAGTCAGTTCTCTTCGCGAATCACCATGGAACGAAGTAAATTCTTTTTTCTTTTTAAAATAATTTTTCATCGTTTTGATGTTTAGGCTCCCATTTTAGCATATCGAAATGAAGTACGAACACAATTAAACAATAAAGCAGCAGTTCATAATGCAGCACAACTAGGTCTTCAGCCAATGGTATGTGTCGCTCATGATACCTGCAAAGGAAAACCAATTGAAGATCCTATACTTATGAAAAAATTACTGGAATTATCTGACAACAAGACGGAACACTTACCCGGTTTGTTGCCATTTGTTCCTGGGATGCCAGTTATTTTAACGCAAAATCTTGCTATTGAACTGGGTCTTATTAACGGCATAAATGGAATATTTCGACAATTAGTCTACGAGGCTGATTCTGTATCGATAGATGCTCTATCTAACACATTTCCGAACAACACACAGTACGTGCATCGACCTTTATATGCATTAATTGAAATTGCTAGATCGAAAATTGAATGTAATCTTGAAACACTTCAACCAAAAATCGTTCCAATACCGTTAATGGAACAAACGTTTCGTTTTGACGTTACTGACATTCTTCCAAAAAATAAAAAGCCAAAATCGAACCAGAAAGCAATTTTGTCAATTAAACGACGTGCACTACCACTTGTACCTGCTTATTGTATTACAACACATAAGAGTCAAGGTCAAACTTTGAGTAAAGCCGTGATTGACCTTAAACTGCCGAATGAAACTGAAGATATTGCCGCTGTTTATGTACCGCTATCACGTTTACAACGTTTGATTGATGTAGCTATTTTACGGCCTTTCGATTACAACGTTCTACGAATCAAACCAAGTAAATCGCAAGTTGCTGAAATTGAAAGACTTGATAAATTGTATATTGATACTAAATTTCGATTTTCTGAGTATTTTCAATAATTTTTCTTTACTTTATAAAAATGCATGTTAGTTGCTATCAATTGTTTTGCATATTATAGTTTTTTTTAATCAAATTTTCAATATGTGTTCTTTATTATAATTATGATTTTTTTGTATAAGTATCGCTTTTATAGTAGCGTTGTAATCCTTTTCTAGTTAATAGTGTGAAAAGATATTTGCTGGTTATAGATGCATTTTTCTTTTCACATCCGTTTTTTTTCTCGTTTGTTTTAGTCACATATTCAACATATTTGTATTATGTTATTATGTATGAAGTTCTTAGTAAATAAAATATAATCAGTTATATCATAGAATCTTAGCATTTGTCAAATAATTCGGTACCATAGCACAAATTGCGACATGATCTAGATCTATCTACAATGATATTCAGTAGAAGTGCGATCATAATTGGTAACAGAGAACATTTTTCCATAACACATCACGGTATAGGATTGTTCTGCTCAAGCTACATTCCAATTATTCAAGCATAGATATCGATATGCAATAGTATAAAACGCAGTTTTCTCTATTGTTGTCTCGACATAATACTAATACCCGTGCTACCGTAGGAATTTGTAAGTTGACGCACTTCTGATCATCCACGCTTAATTTTCAGTTTAACATAATCTGTTAAAATCTATCTCGTTTCGTGATATTTATAAGAAAAAATCAAACCTATAATAGTTTTCACTATCAAGATATATAAAGGAAAATTTTGCAACATTAACTTTGAAAGCAATTTGTTTTGCTAATTTGTAAATAAAGATGATAATTTCATGTATGAAACCACCATACTTCGATTCTAACTATCGTATTATAGTCAAATCAATTCATATTTAAACACATATC